GGGAACGTGGCTTCGGCAGATCTATCACCTACAGTGGGTGCATTTCGTGTGCAAACAGTCGAAGCCCTGGCCGAATCCTACATGAGCTGAGCGCACACATTACATGCAGAACTTTCCATCAAGCCCCAATCAGGCATCCAGACAAAAGGAAGTGTAGTCCAGCATGTTCTAATTTGAAACAAGGCACCGAAAGAACCACGGAGGCTGCAGAGCATCGCGCAAGGACGATGCCCAGCAGCCCCACCCCTGGCCAGGGAAATATCAAGCAGGACATCCTTGCAAGCCATCGAGCGGCAAAGCACCGAAATGAAATGTGTTTTACAGCACTCGCTCTCCCTCGGAACTCGGAACCAATGGCAGTGGCAGTGGCAGCCAGGATCAGTATCAGTGAAGTTGTTGCTTTTGCGAACCGCGCGAACATTGCGCGCCTTGCGAACACAACCACGGGAAGCCCGCAAGCACAAGCAAGTGCAATAGCAGCAGCACTACTAGGAGAAATAGCAACTAGCACTGCTAGTGGGAAGTGTGAGAGTAGGAACACCAACGCCGCGGCAGCAGTAACAACAACCACAATAGCAAAAGGATGAGAATGAGGCAATACTGTAAGGAGTGGAAACCACAGCTGTGGCAGCCATCCCATCCCCCCAAGATAACATGAAACCGCAAGTGCCCCTCTTTAGAATATTTAGGCTGTCGATAGTAAAGCCGTTTGGGGGCTCCATCTTAGTTTGCCGGGCGCTTGCTAGCAACACTGCTCCTGCAGCTCGGCCTGAGCCAAGCTCCAGCACCCTATGCCCGGCCAGTGGCGCGCGCTGCGCCGCCCAGATCGCCATGAGGATGCCACCGTCCCACAGATGCCTCAAAGTCTGGAGGGCTGGAGAGTAGGTACTTCAGGGCCTCTCACGGCTTGAATCTGAATTAATTACGAGAAGATTAACAAAAAGTAGTCGGTAAGGACAGAAGTTGCAATTTCAGCCAACCAAAAGAATTGGGCGTGTGTCCACGGCCTACTGCCAAGGGGCCCTCCCAGCTTTCCTTCGGAGAATGGCAGCTCCATCACCTTGCCAGGGGCTCTGCGAAATCCTAATATAGGTTTGGAAGACCATCACTCAGGTCACATGCTTGCTATCATTATCGCGACAATACGCATGGCCAGCCCGATCTTCAAGCAGCTTGCCAGTTAAAGACTTGGCTTTGGAGCCATGCCCACATGCAGATAGTGGCCAAAGCAGATCATGCGGAAACGTAAAGCGATGGTGACAACAATGACATTGATGGCCAGTACAAGGACAACGTCCAGAATCGTAACAACTGGCAGAAACCTGTAGCACATGTGCGTGCCGAGGTTTTGAGAAACGAGTCTAAGTGCTTCTCAAAAGGGGTTCTCGTCACCATCACCATCAAAAGCACCCTCACCATCATCCTCATCAGCTTCAGTGGCTGCTGCATCAATCATGCTGAAACTTCTGCCCTGCTAGCGTACAACCAGGGTAGCGGCGAACCCAAGTGGTCTGAGCAAATGTAAATGCATGGTCCTGGAATCTGGGTTTGGTTTGTGATAGATCAAGATGCTCATGCTATGGATGCCTCTTCCGGCTACTATCTCTGCCCTGCCCACCTCAAACCGCTCGAGGCCGGAGGACGTGGGGATGTGGAAGCGACGTTCGCCATCCCTGTTGCTTACAGATGCAGCTTGGATGGATCATACTATGCAACTTCCGCAGACTGGCGTTCAAAGGTATATATTGCAACCATGCGGAGCCAATATCAGGGACTCTCTGACTCTATCACCTAACCTGAGACCGGCCACAAGCCAAAGTACGTTTGCGTCTTGGTCTCGCAAAGAACCATTGCCCTCTCATCATCTGCCGATCGGAGGCAGTAGAAGCCTCACAGGGGACTTGCAGGCAAACATTGACGTTCGGCTGGCACAAGAGCGCATCATGCAACAGTATGACAGCTTGTCCAAGTGCAGAAGTACTTACTTGGGAATCTTGGTAACTGGAGACCACATAATCCAAGGTTGGCCAAGGAGATTCGGCAAAGTGTAGCAAAGCTAGCTCGGAACAAATGGCCGCTGTTGAAGATTTCAATCTGTAGGTGACGAAGGACTGCTTTGAAACTGCTGCTCCCCGCAACCACGTCGCCTACAGGCCGCTCTCCTGCCGCAATGCTCGCCAGCTCCTTCAGTCCAAGGATCAAGAACACACTTCCAGGCATCCAGAAGTGGAACTTCAAGTATGGTTTAGGGCTTTGGCATTTGGGGTCCAGAATTTTTTGGTTTGGGGAGCTTGCATATCCTCGTCTTCTGGGAGCCAGGGCGGCCGCGCGAAGCGATCCTGGGGAGCAAGAAGTGGCCATTAGCATGCACACAGTGGCATCAACATGTGTACTGTTCTAACGTCGGCCTAGAACTTCGCAATGCTCGTTTTACAACTTGAATTTCGATAATGCAGATAACAATGGAGCAAACGGCTTTGAAGGCTTCTGAGCTATCGCTCGGGGAGGCGTGATGCTTGGGCTGCCTTCTTTCGCCAAGGATCCGTCCGCCGGAGCCTCGCACGAGTTGACAGCTGCAGTTGAAATTATGAGTCATGACTGTCCTGCAGCTCTTGAGGGTAAATATGCACCTGCATGCACCTCCCATGATCTTAGTCTCCATGCGCTTTCGCGCCAAACTTCTGAATATGTGACTCATGAGTATTTTGACAGAGTAATGGTCACAGAACAACTTGGAGAAATTGATATCAGGAGTCCACCAAACGTGCGGCATGTGCAAGACTTGCCACACATTCAAACTTATCACGGGTTGGTAGTTTAAGTATACTAGGAACACATAGCCGTGAAATAAATACTCCAACTTGTCTGAGCAGCATGTTACCGGGAGAAAGGATACGCTCAATGACAGAAGTTACCCTTCCGCAGAGCCCTCAACGTTCGCCGAGCAAGGCCTCTTCAGCAAAGCTCCCACTATCCCCAGGCTGCTTCTCAGATTTTGTTCCATGTTCCCAGTCGTGGCCAGCTTCTCTAGCCCGACCCCGCCTTGAGTGACAAGCGCAGCCAAACAGAAGGCCAAGGCAAAAATCTTGTGACCTGCCATTTGCTGAGGGGCCTTCCAAACTGTCCATCTATCCGTTGTTGTCCTACGTATACCCCTTAAAACCGCCGTAGGATTCTTGAGGGAACTCAGCAAACTTGTAGCTACTCAACATGTCTATTCTTGCCTCAGGTGCTCGCAACGAAATCTCCGTAGCAATTCCTTGAACTTGGCAACACGTAGGAAAAAGTCACAAGCCGACGCAGTCACGGCGACACAGACTCGTGGGCTTCTGTGACAAAACTCCAGGCAAGAATCCCCTTTCTCAACCTTACAGTGTTACAGTGCTCACTTGAACGATCCCACATGTAGGGAAATATCAACACGTCCCAAGCCAATCTCCACAGATATGCTCCTTACAGATTCGTAATCTGGCCTGGGGAGTTTGCTCCGGCAGCTTGCAACCAAGCGTGGGGCCGCCGCTACACGTGGTGCCAGGTCGAGGCTCAAAAGTGGGCTTGGCCATGGCACAGAAAGCATGATCAACGAGAAGCTCTCAAATTATGGGTCCAATTTCGCGAGCGTTGATAGCATGTGGGTGTAACGTAGAGGGCATGCGGCCATCTCAGGAAGTCGAGGTCTTCAAAAGATGTGGGTTCAGGGAGTTGGGCTTGGTGCTCCAGACCAGCGCAGGGATTCTTCTAAATCCAAACCTCCTGCCTGTCACCCGCTTCCGATTATTGTTCCCCTACGTTGACTGCAGAACTCTCAGTATTCATGGGGCATCACGTAAACCTGCTAAATGGGCGAGCAATGGGGTCTCTGTCACACCTCATAACCATTGTTTATGGGGAGGATGGGCTGCAGGTGTGGCTTGCAGCCGCTTTGTAGATCCTGGGTTGCTACTCGGTAAGCTGATTCGCACAGTTCAATCATCAGTATAGCATACTCTCCTCTTCGAACGCTTCACAGCAGCTGATCTAGTGAGCTGCAAGACCAAGGACAGCTCAAAGTCCTGCACTGCCGTGGGCGGCAAGTAGACCTGGAATATTTCAAAATATGGAGACTCTGGAAGCAAGAAGCAAGCCAGCAGCCTCAAACTCCTGCGGCATGCGCCGCCCACGTACGTTCACAGGAACCTGCCACAGAACTGCTGCAGCAGCTGCTGATGAAGCAAAGCACAGCCTGCAGCGGCACGTAGATCCTCGCAGTCATGTTGTGCAGGTCTTGGTACCTTATGCAGGTGCCGTTTCACCTGTCCGTGCTGGCCACCCATATCAGCTGCTTCCAAGACGCTGGGTCTCGCATATGGGGATCAGAAGCCGGAAGGTTGGCGATGCCAGCACCTGACAAGTTATAAACTTGGGAGCAAGGACACTCCTGCATTCAGCCTTTTCACAAGTCTCAACATCCAAAAATCGAGTCTGAGGCCTGGAGGGGATAGGTCGGCTCCACGATCACCACGTCCACGGGAGGTCGCAAGGGGCCCGTAAGCCGCCGGCCGGGAACCTTCCACACGAGCTGGACGCTGATAGCGTGAGCTCTAGTCAAAACTCTTGGAAGCCCCATATGACCAAAATGCCCTCCGCAAAATGTGGGAATCATCCCCAGTATCACTCTTCTGGATAAGAGTTTTGGTCATGATCATAATGTTTAGATGAATGACGTGGAGATGTTGCAGAACTGCTGCAACCCCGCATGACATGCTTTTCTATGCCCTTCTAACCTATGAGCAAACCGTCAAAGAGACCTGCGCCAGCGTCTCATTGGTGCAGTTGGTGTCATTGAATGGGCACGGTTCTTCCTTTCATGCACGTTGTAGCTCGCGATATACGAAGTGGCACACTCACTGTCTGAAACCGGAGAGCATCCGCAGATTTCGTAGTGTGTGGTCATAAGTGCTTGGGAAGCTGAGGATGGAGCTGTGGTGGTTGTGCTCGTTGTGGAGGGCATGTCCTCCAAGTTAGAACACACAAAACACGGCAGGACCTGGAATAGGACCAGCAAGCCGCACCTCACAGCAGGTCTCATTGTCCAGCTCAGTGCAGGCCGCAGGATCTGCACACCTGAAATGTTGGGAGCATCCTTGGACCATGGACTCCAAGAGACCAAGACTTCAGAAGATTCAGAATCGGCCTGTACCAAGTGGCGTTGTCGATCACCTGCCTCCCCTCTCCGCAACTTAAGTTGTAGTCGCCTCAGTGCCAGGACAGATGAACTCAACAGCAACGCAGCAACTAGAAGGCTCCATCCTCCTTGAGTCATCCTAAGTCTCAGGCCTCAATCATAGGCCTATTCTCTCAAAAATGCCAGAACCCTCCAAGTACCAGCTTGCTGCCGGACTACCAACGCAGTCCTGAATCCCGAAACCCGAATGACGCAGCATGAACTCTGAGAAAGCAAAACCAACGGCATGGACAATTACGTGAACGTCCCGTGCACCGACTGATTGTGCGAATGACAATGACAAACATGCATTGGTATTACATATATCATCACGTATTTGCCAGAGTGCGATTGTGAATAAGATAATGATAATGACAATAGGGCTATCCGTAAGAGCAACAGCAAGGGCAGCCAAACGTACTGGTGATTACAGAAGAAGGTCACAGGGGAATGGATCCCAAAAGCAGTCCCAAGGAGGACACTCCCTACTAACCACGAGTAAGCAGAGGCTCTCAACCCGAACCAAAAACGAGGCTCTGTGCAGCCTTGCTGCCGCATGTAGCCGCGGCCGGGATCAAAACGGATCGGTTGCCCTGCAATTTGGAGCGTTGCCGGCCACTAGTAGATTCAGTTATTACATGTTACGCTATGTTACGCTGTGCTTGATGGGAATCTCAGTATGCACACGTGCATTACAACATTACATGGGGTGGTTCTGTTCACTGGGGTTTGCATTCTTCAGGTATGTTTGTAAAATGGAGGATTTCTACGTCAATCTTGAGAAAGACTGTTGGCGGGATGCCCCTTTGAAAGGGCATCGTATGTCGTGGTGTGCGGTTTATTCGGAAAAACCGAACTCAAGACCGTGGAGGACGGGCATGATGGGAAACAAAAGTCTTATTGAACTGTTTGAAGGAGGGGCAATGACTCAAGGATATCAAAGGATTAAGCAGGACCCTGAATACCTCGCCTTGAGAACTACGGTAGCTGTGTAGGTGATCTCCGACCACGCCTACTCATACTTCGAGTTTTCCCATAAACCACATAGTGCTACTACTGCTTCTTCTACTTCTAGATCCGGCATATCTTGTCCTTGACATGAGCAGCAGGTGGTGGTGGCGGTGGTAGTAGTGGTAGCAGTAGCAGTAGTAGTGGCAGTAATCGTAACAGTAGTAGTTGTTGTTATTAGTAGCAGCAGTAGTAGTACCAGTACTAGTACTAGTACCAGTGCTAGTACTAGCACTGGTACTGGTACTAGCACTAGCAGTAGGAGGCGATGGTAGATAGTCGTCCTCATCCTCGTCTTCCTTCTGCTACTTCTACCACCACTACTACTTACTCCGAGGAGGAGGAAGAGGAGGCTACCATTGGGCGGCCTACAACTACTGCGTGGACGATTACCGCGACTGTATCCGACTACGTTGCCCAGCACCACCAGCAGCGCACTAGCGCAGCAGCCGCCGCCACTGCTGCGGCCGCTGCTGCAGCCACGACCGCCGCCACCGCTCCTCCTCCTGCTCCTGCTGCTGCTGCCGCCGCCGCCTCTGATTCTGCGCTGCTGCTGCTGCTGCTGCTGCTGCTGCTGCTGCTGCTGCTGCTGTTCCTGCTGCCGGCACGCCTTCACACAGAAGGCCAGAGCACAAACAGAAAGGGAACACCATGCGTTTTGCAGGCTCCCCAAGCGAAGCTGAACCAACCAGGCAAAAGCTCCTGTCCCAAGGATCCAGCCTCTACCACCTCAGCCCTGTCGACAAAAAGGCCCTCATCCACCTCGGGAAAACGCGGCTTTGGATGCTGCACAAGATACGACAAAGCAACGCTTGCGCGCCCGACGTCGTAAATAGGCCAAATCTTACTGTTTCTGCTAAAACCGGCAACTTCGTACATTTAACAATCTTTGCCATTCGTATGCACGCACGCAGCGTAAATGAGAAAGGCTACAGCTCAGCGCGTTCTTCCCATCGTGAGCTATCAGCTTGCCACATCGAGCAAATCAAGCGTCTGTAACGCTGCAGTCCGAGGCTGCATGGACACTTGACTCCTAGTGACTAGTGCTTCTGTGTTTCTACTGCGATAGTTGTCATGAACCACCAATGCTGATACTGCTTGGTGGTGGTGGTGGTGGTG